ATTTTCTCTTAAAAGTAAGGATTTCAAATTTTGGAAAGATAAGCTTAAAGAAAAAGTTTCAGAAGATTAAAATAAAAATATACTTATTTTATAAAGACAACAGCAATAATTTTAATTTTCTAAAGAATGAAAAATTAAAAAAAAAAAAATAGGGACGAAAATCAAAGTCAACTAATTTTACAAAATCTAAAAATATCTTTAACCAAATAATTTACGAATAATTGAAAAACAAGATTAAATTCATTTGACAACTCATGATTCATAAAAACATATTTTTTTGTCAACTGAGATTAATTTATTCATACATCTCAATTATATTTAATGCTTTAAAATTTAGGATTAAAAGTATTTTTATCTCATAAAATAAGTCAATTTTAATTTTAGTCTCTAATTAATATATATATATATATATATATATATATATATTAATTTTTAATCATCTAAAATTTGAAATAATTAGTCTTAAATCATATAAATGAGTGAATTTTAGTTTTGATATTTATAAAATTTTATTTAATTCTTATCACTCTAAAATATATAATAATTATTTTAATTTATTTTAAGACAGGTAAATAACAATTATTTTAGGCCTCAAAAATTATTGTTAACATGACATCACATACTAAATATCTCTTGAAATGGTTTTGAGACCTTTCATTAGATACATAAGTAGTATAACTAATTTCATGGTAGAAAAGAGCAAAAGTACTGAATATATATTTTAAAAGATGAAAAAAAAAAAAAATATATATATATATATATATATATATTCATACCAAAAACATTTAACCCTTTTTTGTCCATGATTTTTTATCCAGTTTTTGTAATAGCAGCGTGGCATTTTTTTTATTTGTCCAATAGTATACTTTGGTATGAACAGCAGGATTCTGTTTCTTTTTTGTGGGGGTCAACAGTACATCAGAACCAAGCTATGGGTCCAAGCCCCATCCTGACGCATCTACAGAGCTAATAAAAGCCCAAACGCGTTAGCAATCGTTTGTTTTTTTGGGTCCGAAGCAATTGAGCAGTGAGTGATCTGGGCCTGGCAGGCTGAATAAATGATCCGTGGGCCAAATTTGCTGAGCGGTGCACTGGTATGTGAGAATTTGAGCAACAAAATTGATATTTTGACAACTAATATTTTCGGAACTAGTAACTCACGCCAAAGAATTTCACTACAAATTTGATCCAGAACAACTTTCGGTGTGTGAAATCTTAATCAATAAATTAACAATAAAAGAAAACGAGATTTGATCCAAATTACGAATGACATTGATATTCAGTTTATTTGTCGTTTTTTTTTTCAATTGTCTTTCATAATTATTTAGCATTTGTATTTTTTTATATTTCATGTGTTAGAAGAAAAAATAAGTTCTAAATTAAGAGTTATGTTAATTTTTTGAATGCAGTATTAATACCTATCTTTCATTTATATCTTCAATATTATTTTTTTTAAAATGGATATTGTGTAATATTATTTCTAATAAGAAAATTATTCATAAGATTAATTTCGTAAAATTACTATCCTCTTTTATTTATTTATTAGTTTTTCTTGGTTTGTATAAAATAATTTAAGATAATATTTATTATGAGACAAAAGGAGTAGAAGATTAGTATTCTTATACAATTTTGTTTGAATCAATAAGATTATTATAAATAATAAATTATATTTTTTTTTGAATATTTGACATAATTACATATTCGAAACTTGAATTCGAAAACATTTATTAGATTAAATCAACTCCAAAAATCCTAATTGTTTGTATGAAAAAACCTGGTTGGAAACCGATATATAACTTGTCTTTGAAAGAGATTGTGTAGAAAAATAAAAATAAAAATAAAAGGTCTTTGAAAGAGATTAATATTGGTGAACAGCCGAAGGTACTTATGTTCATATATGCATAAAAAAGAAAAAGAAAAATATTCCCTCAATTATTTGTATGTAAAGTTTGCTCTTGAGAATTTGACAGGCATTTGGCCAACTTCTTGTTGTTTTGGATCTCACAGGCTGAACAGGATTTGTCTTCCAAAAGTAAAACCATGCAAGTTCGATTATTTGGTCACCAAGAAAGACCTATCCCAACATTATTTGTCATTTGTATGAACTGTCCTCGTGGTGAAGCATGTATGCTTAGATCTAGAACCTAACAATGTGCCTTTATTAGGATTTACGTATTACAAATTTTAAATAAGATTAACACTATTAATACATAGTTAAATTCTTGCAGCACATCATACATTTGATTTCTTAATAAAATATATATATAAAAAATACTTTATCAAAATAGACTAAATTTACTTTGATAACCTCTACGTCGTGAAAAAAAAAAAATTAGCCTTTGAGGGTTATCTTTGTACAAATTTAAAAAATGGAAAAAAGAAGTATTTTAAAAAATCTGAGAGGCACAAATAAAAGTAACAAGTAAAGGGAAGCACTCATGATCAGCACTTAAAAGGGTTTCTAAAAGTGTGCGCAAATTAAGGAAGTTCCTTCCAGTATCTCCCAAATTAAAAGTGAAAGAAACGGCCACTGGTTCTGGTTCAGCCAAAAGACTAAAATTATGTTACATAGAAAAAAAAAAATAGTAAAATTAAGAGTGAGTGCATTGAAGGGGACCTCTTAGAACCTAAAGTTCATGGTCAACTTTCTCACACCCTTTTCTCCATTTCACGCATATTTAGGCTTCATGTCTAGAACCTCTTCTCTCTTCTCATCTTTTACCACTTTGTGACGAGTCATAGCATACTCCAACTTTGTTGCACCCTAGAGTGGAACTTGATTTCACTAAAATAATATATAGAGCAGCAATACTTTATGGTTAAACCCAATATAAATAAATAATAAGTTCACTCTATTTTATAACGATAATTAGTGTGTTTCTCTTAGCTAGAACCAGTAGCCTGTGAACTAATGATGGGAATGTTGAGCAGGGCCATGACAACAAGGTGAATAAAAGGCTATAGTGTATAATAATGTCTTCTATAGGATAAGATATTCGTTTAAGATAAGGATGTTGATGTGTTAGAGATGCATTTTTTTTTTTTTTTACCTTGCTTAATGTGGATACTCTCTCAAGTTAAAACATGCACAAGTAAATGCTCAAGGGGGTAATGATCGTTTTCATATTAAGAGTTCGTGGGTCCAATTATTGAGTCCATGCAGACACCCAATTAAAAATGGTCAATACGTGGATTTTTATTCTACAAGTAAAAAGTGCACATAGAAAAGGAAGAGTGATATACTTACGTTAGTGTGAGTTACACTTACTTTTATGTTCTAAAAATTTTATCTATATAGCATTTTTATTCATAAAATTACATAACAATAATTAGAATTAAAGTGACTAACATTTCATATAATTTTAAATATGAAAACTAAAAATATAATTACTTCTGCACATTAGTGAAATTAACATATATAGATTTTTTGGGATCTGGGATCCCAAAAATCGTATATCAATTCACTAACATAAATTCGTTGCTGACAGAATAACATTGATGATTTGACGCACCATCTTATGATTTGTTTGTTTCTATTCCTTTTCTTCAAAAAGATAAAGTTTTTACACGTGGCACTGGCCACAACAAGCCAAACTAGATAACCAGGAAAGCATTTTCGTTGTAAAGTTATGGTACATGTAAGCAAACTATGAAATAGAAAAATGTATCTTCCATGTAACTTAATTGATAAAATTATAAAGCACATAATGAGAGCGTATAATAGTGCATATAAATTAGATTCCCTATGTGTATGTCACTTTTTTTTTCCCACGAGAGTGGACCTGCTTGGAAACTTTTCTTTGAATTCGCCAAGCAAGTGTTTCATTTTGTAAGGATTGGAAAAATAATTATACTCTCTTGCAGTTTACAAAAGCACGTCATGCGCTCCATAACTTAGCATTTTGGAAGTGTTTGTTTGGCATGGCACCGTCATGATCCTACTTGCAAAACACAACTTTGCGTTTTGGAAGTACTTGTTTGGCACCATGGAAGCAAAACCCCACCACCTAGTGTGCTAGCACTATGGTAAATCTAAACACCGTTTTCATTCATCCGGAATTTGTTTGCCAAATTATTTCAATTATAACATATAAAGATTAATTTTCTAAAGATTATCATTTTTTATGTAAGGTATTTTATCTTATTATTTATTTAGAGACATGTCATCTTATACAAATATCTTTTTTTTTTTTTTAATTTCTCTTTCTTTCCTTACAAACAATCCACAAAATATCTTATTTTAATATTTTCTACTCTTTTCTTATTCTTCATTTTCTTTTCTAAACCAGACACAACCTTTAATTTCACAAAAATCATCATACAAAGAGACTAATGCATGCACTTGCTTCTCTTCTTTAGCTTTCAATTGCAATCAGGGATATTTGAACCACTTAGAGCATCTAGACACCGGTGATGTGCTCCATTTTCATATCTCGTACTATTAATAAATCCAATTTTTCTCCAAAGAAAAAAAGAAATTAAAAGCAACGATCTGAAGAAAAGACACGGTCATAACACGGTTCAACCAACATTTCTAACTTAATAAACAAATTTAAATTTTCTTGGCTAATTAAAAGTTAAATTTCAAAGTAACGCATTAGATTTATTTTGTTCAGAAATAATCCTGGAAATAGTAGTCAAGATTCGATAGAGCTAGCGTCAGATTACCGAACAAAATCTCACATGCATTGTCTTTGGACAGAATTTGGAAAACCAACCAACTCCATCCTAAAATTCTCAAAAGCAAGAGGAAGGATTAATGCCAAAAAAGGGCAAGTTAAGTAAAGCTGAAGCACTTGCATGGCATCATCCTTTGTCTTGATATGTAATAAGTAACAAGTACCAGCCCAACCTTGAGCTTCTTTAACTTATGAACAGACCTAACAGGTAACAGCTCATGCAAACAAACAAACTGTACTATTAATTTTATCCCATTCTATAGATAAGACCCACCAACTGAGTCCATTATTAATAGGTCTTCCAGAACAAATAAGCACCTATTTTTTAAATTTCTTTTTTTATTCACTTTGGATCCATGTGATTATTAGCATACATGAAGTTTAGAATTTTCGAAAATTTTAAGAGGAAGATAAAAAAAGACAAAAGAGGAGAAACTCATGTGGGTTCACTTCGCTATCACTATCGCTTCCTTTCTTACCCAGAAAGACTCTAGCCGTCTGCTACCCATTGTCCTATATCATTACCTGGCCCACCATTTTTCTCTCTAAAAAACAATTCTCTATTAATAATTTTTTTTTATCTATACAAAATAAAATATCATATTTTAAAAATAAAAATAAAAATAAAAATAAAAATGACAACTAAAATCTGGCATTCTCAAACCCATGCAAGTCACTAACTCTGTTCATAGACTTCCTCATGATAGCCACTTTCGCCAGCCTCTCAGCGGCGCGCCAAGCCGAAGTCGGCGTCAGCGGCTCCACCTTCTCTTCAGCGCGAGTACTATTATTCCCAGGCGCCTGCGCTTGCCTGGGCCTGGGCCTGGGCCTGCGCCGCTGAAGCTCAGCTTGCTCGGCTTCGAGCCAGCGCAGGAACTCCCCATCCGGCTTACTCGATTGCATTAGAAGCGCTCGAGCCGATGAAAGCAAGTGATGAGCGCCAGAAAAGTCGTTATGTTCGGCGAGCCGGCTCGACTCAGCCACGGCTCGCGTGCTGACGTGGAGGTTCCGCAAGCGTTCGATCTTAGCGCACGAGGATCGTACGGCGTGGGGACGAGGAATGAGCATTGCTTGCTCCACGGGATTCAAAGCCTCTCGAGTGAGTGGGTCCCGGTAAGATGATCGTACGGTAAGAACGTGGTGGGACCCAGCGGAAGCGGCGGGCACTTTCACTTCCACCAGCAATTCCCTCTCCTCCTCCGCGTAGAAATCCCCGATCCGGATCCAACCCCACCCGAGAGAAACGGGTCGACCCGATACGGAATAAACTCCAGCAATCTCAGCAGCGCCCGATCGCGACACCACCTCAATCTGAATCCTAACGTCCTGCGCCACCACGCTCAACAAACCCCGCACGAATTTCGCGAGCGCTTCGTCGGAGGGCGCGTGAGAGCAATCGCCCAGACGAACCGTGTGCACCGGGACTTCTAGATGCGCGAGGCGCGTGGTGGAAACGTGCAAGGGTTTATGCTTGTGAATGGATTCCCCCGCGCGTGATTCGTGGATATCGGACAAGACGACAATGCTGGCGACGGCGTTATTCTCGCGGCGGTCCTCGAGCACCTTCGCGGCCTTTTTCACGGCGTCGCTCTTCACCGGCGCGCCTTCTCTGGCTTGGTCGATGGCGGCGAGCGCGTCTACGACGCGACGCGCGGACCGCTGGCCGCCGCCGGTCATCCGCCTCAGCGGGAGCAGCCGCTTGGATCCGGCGGAGAATGCGACGATGGAGAGACGATCGGTTGGGCGGAGTGAGGATATCACTTGCCGCATGTAGTTTTTCATGAGGCGGAGTTTATGGCCGGACATGGCGGCGCCGACGTCGAGAACAGCCACGAGGTCAATTGGAGCGCGACGCGCGGGCTTCGGTGTGTGCGGCGGTTTCATCTTCAAAACGACGACGTATGTCTCGTAGTTTCTGTTGGCGGCGATAATGGCTGCCTCCGGCAGCAACGATAGCTCGAGGTTTCTTCTGATTACCGGCGAGGATTGTAAATTGGGAAGTGGATTGACGTTGAAGCCTTGAAACTCGGTGTTAATGTTATCTTCTTCATCTTCTTCGTTTTCGGACTCGGGAATAGGGTTGAAGCGAGATAGGGAAGTTGGAGACATGAGAGGCTCGTCGTCGTTGTAGACCTTGAAGCTTCTCTTGTTGGTATTCTCGTTGTGGAGTGAGAGCACCGGATGTTCCTTCCAGCTAGTGTTGCAGACGGGACACGTTAGAATCGGGTGCTTCTTCACTATGCAAGGGAAGTGGAACGTGTGAGAGCATTCCGCTGTGAAAATTGCAGTTCCTTGTCCACTTCTCACGCTCTGCATACAGATCCCACATCGACTCTGCACAGAAGTAAGCAGCATAATTCAACCATTAGCAATAAGGAATCACTTTATAATTGTTAATGTTTTAAAATAACATCCAAACACACTTTGGTTGCTTACTTTGGATAGGCGAAGAGTGGCTTTGAGAAGTGAGAAACTGGATGGTGATTTGGGGGATGAGGGATTGGAGTTATGGAAGAGCCTTGAAGTCTTTGTTTTGCATTGAAGTTTTGGGCTGTTTGGGACAGAACAAGTGGTTCGACATCGTAAAGATGGGGTTGAAGCAGGTTGGGATTGGGAGTCGCACCGGGGTGTTGAGGGGTTTGAGAAAAATCCAAACTTGGAACTGATTTTGGGGCTGTGATTGGTGGTGGTGTTATTGTTCTCGCAATGCTGTTGTTTATCTGTCAACACTTTGGGTTCTCTGTCTTTGGGGATGGATGTGCAGAAAGCTCTTCTCCACCCAGTAACCATTTTGACACTCTTTAGGAATTTGGGTGATGAATGGATTGTGGTTTAGAAAGTGATTAGAAAGGGGAAAGGAGGAGAAGAAATGGATTAGATTGAGAAAAGCTTTTCATGTTCCTCTTTTCTTTCTTTCTATTTGGGTTCCCCACCGCGTATTTATCTATGTCTTGAGTCTTGACCTAGGTGTATTTTCTAATTTTGTGTTTGGAGGGGTGAGAAAAGCCTTAGCTGTTGGTTCCAATTTGAAAGGGTGTAAGTATATAATAATATGAGAAGCACGTTAAATGGTAGAAAGACACAAGGTTTTCCCTTAGTTGGGAATATTATTATCCGGGTAAAGTGAAAAGGGGTGGTCTCGGGATTAACATGGTAACTGGCAAGTGGAGGTTGCTAACTACAGTAACAAGTCAACGCCTTTCTTGGAATTGTGCATCAGTGTCTCATTCCCACATTATGGTCATTGGTCACCGACCCATGCAACAGTGTGAGGTCGAGAACCGTCTGCATCTCTGCCTTTGCACGCAGAGCTTCATTCATGGTTACTCTCATTCATCCCTTTCGCCTTAATCTTCGTCACTTTTCCCTTTTCCCACAAACCCAAAATCCCTATTTTAAAAAATTTATTAATTGCTTGGTTGAGCTGGATGTACTGTGATTCGGCATTAAGTAGCTGAGCCAACTTTGATACCTATAATCTGGTTCGTCTGTAGTGGGCTCCATTTCGTTGCCGATTCATATTAATGGTGTGGGAAATTGTGATGTTCAGGACATAGACCAGTCCTTCTCCACATAAGGGTAAATTCGTCATTCTACCTCTGCACTCATTAGTTACCATAACTATAATTATTAATTAAGGCTCTAGTCATTCAATTGAATAGAATAGAATAACGGCCAATGGTTGGGGCATATCATTTTTTGTCTTTTTTAATTTGCTCATCGATCCCAATGAAATGCCCAACCTAAACACTGTAGTAAATGACCCACCACCAACGTTATCAACACTTTTTTTGTGTCCATATATTCAAATACAAATGCTTGAACTACCTTGTTTGCCCACCTTATCTTTTTTTACATCAACGATAATGGGATTATTGATGAGGATAATTATCAACTAGTCTCGTTAGAACTCCTTATGGCACAAAGTTGGTTTAGGCACGCTATTAATGACATTTACCGATTGGGGCAAGTCTTAACGACACATAACTATACGCACTTGTTCATTTATTGGGACTCACAGATAAGGATCAAAATACCTTTCAAAGAAGTAAATATAAGCTGCCAAAACAAAGGGTAATTGATATTGTAAGTGAGGTCAATCATCCATCGATGCTATTGCCTATTTGGCAGTGATCTAAACCCAACTTGGGATTCGACCTGATATGGAGTGGAACAAAAATAGTTTCCACTCAACCTTTAATGTAGCTGCCCAAATTAGTGTATAATCATAAAATACTTTTGTTAATCATTATCTTAAGAATAAAAGTAAAATACAAATATATTAAAAATCCTCTGTTCTATATCATCAATATATTTTTATAATGATTTTCATTAAAAAAAATATTCATTAATTTTTTTTATATATTATTCTTATGATAATCAATCCTCATATATTAAATAACATAAGAATATTTTTAACATGAAAATATTTTTAAAAATTTTTACTTAACAAAGGAATTTATAGAGGTTTTTTAAAATTTTATTTTATTTATCATAATTATTTATAAATTAAATTTAATATTTTAAATAAATTATCAATAAATAAAAAAAATTATTACAATTTATCATAAATTAAAATTAAAATTTATTTATTTAAAATATCTATTTAAATAAATTTCAAATATAATTTATATATTTAAATATAATATATGATAAATTTAATTATATATAATAAACATCTTTATATTAAAGAGGTTAAAATATTAATAAATAATAACATTTAAAATTATTACGAGAAAGTTGACAATTATTCACAGTGAAAAGTCGTTGACATTACCAAAACTGTACGTAGTTTATAAAAGCATATCTACAGAAACGTAGCTGGTTTTTATTTTATGGTACGGAACTGTCGAAAACAAATGCGTCATTTTTTAAATAATATATTTTTATAAAAAAATTTAATGAAATTTCTTACTTGATATATAATTTGTATATATATTGTTAACTAGAATTAGTGCAGTAGAATAGATTAAATTAAATTAATTATGTGTTTGCATATAAGATAAAAGTATTTTTTATAGAATTTTATAAAATAATTTTTTAATAGATAAATTCTTAAAAGAATTTCTAATTTATATCTAAGCAAACTTTGAAAGATTGGAATTTGATGGTTGATTTTAACTTTACATATAATTATGTTTTGTTTTAATTTAAATTTTTTTTAATAAAAACATGTAACCTAACATTGTTTAACAATAATAGTTCACCTTTAAACTCTTCAAAAGTTCAAATTCCTTCCTTGTGTAAGTTTTGCATAAAGTTTTTTTTTTTTAGTAGAAATAAGAACATGTTAAATCTTAAATAAGATTTTATGACATAATTTATTTAAAGTTTAACCTATTTAATATAAATGTTAGTTCTTAAATTTGTAAAACAGTCAATTTATTTAAAATGATTGGCTTATACTTATATATATAAAAAAAATTGTTATGCATGATAAATTAACTTATTTATCTAAATAATATAATAAAAACTTAATTTGCATGTCACACATCTTAAAAAAACTTTACAAATAAAGTACGACACTAGTAATGATTGAAATGTACCAGGTCTTAAACAAAATGATTATAACCTGATTTTTTTAAAGTTTAATTTGACTTGATCTATTTAATAAAAAAAATCAGGCTTATACTTTTAAAAATGTCTACTTATTTAACAATGATAGACTTAGGCTTATAAAGAAAAATTGTTAGGCCCATTTATCTAATAGAAAATAATTTCATTTATTTCCTATTACACATGTATGGGTACCTCTCATATCACCTAATATATAATGAGTACTTTTTTAGTTAGTGAATTATTATCATAACTATTTTAATTTGTTAAAATATGAATCAATTATTTAGAACATATCAAATAGTATATAGAAAATATTTAAAATAATTTTTATATGATTATTCTTTTTTATTATAGATTTATAGGCTTATAGCGTGTGCATAAATATATGTAATATACATGATTGCACATGAATTATTCTTTTAAAAGAAAATTATTCACTTTTTTTCCTCTTTGTGACATTGTATATATTTTAAAATTTTAATTTTAATAACAATAAGCAAACTATATTTTATCACGTAAATAAAAAATTAACTCATAATAAAATATTTATAAAAAAAAATTTAATAGATAACTTCTAAAAAATATTATAATTTATATATAAACAAGGTTTAAAAGGTTGAAATTTGATAGTTGATTTTAAATTTACATAGAATTGTGTTTTGTCTTAATTTAAATGTTTTTTGTAATAAAAAAAATATAACCTAACATTGTTTGACAATAAAGTTCACCTTTAAACTCTTCAAACTCCTTCCTGATATAAGTCTTGTATAACTTTCATTGAAGATGACTTTTTTGAGTAGATAAGAATATAAGAAACCTTAAGTAAAGAGTTATGATATAATTTATTTAAAGTTTAACTTTTTTTTTTGTTCGTCCCTGGAGTATTCACCGCCGACAGTAGTGACTAATCTCCTCGCTAAGTTGGAGGCACCTCAAAGGGTGGGATAGCTGGCCCCAAGATTTAACGCGACTGCATATACAAGACAGGATTCGAATCCCTGACCTTGCTTAAGCGTGGATCAACCCCTACCGCTGGTTTATGCTTATAGAAAAATTTATTAAACTTGATAAATTAATTTATTTATCTAAATAAAATAATAAAAACTCAATTTAAATGTTACACACTTTAAAATATCTATAATATTAAGTGTAATATAAATAAGGATGAGAATGCACTTGGTCTTAAATAGGAAATTTATAACTTGATCTCTTTAAAAAAATAATTTTATTTATTTCCTTTTTGTATATGTAATGGTACCCTTTATATCACCTCATGTATAATGAGTATTTTTTAGTTTGTAAATTATTATCATAACTTTTTCTGTTAATTAAAATATGAATTGATTATTTAGAACATATCAAATAAGATATATAAAATATTTAAAATATTTTTTTATATGATTATTCTTTTTCATTATAGATTTATAGGTTTATAGTATGTGTGTGAATATATGCTAACATATATGATTGTGCATGAATTGTTCTTCTAATAAAAAATGATTCATGTTTTTTCTTTTTTATGACATTGTATACATTTTAAAATTTAAATTTTAGTAGCATTGAGCAAACTATATTTTATCATACAGATTAAAAATTAATTCGCAATGACATATTTAAAAATAAATTTGTTGACTTTTAAAAATAAAGTTTATTAACCTATTAATATTATTAATATATAATAAAATTTGAAATAAATTAATAGGTTAGGTCAAACTTTAAAAAAGATAAAACCTATTAAAAAATTTGACAAATAATATACCAAATTTTAATTTTATAAAATAAATTTAATTTATATATTCAAAATTTGATCTGATCTAACCTATAATACTAGTAATTACTCTCCCCTCTCTATAATAAACAATAATAAAAAAACACATTTTGTTAAATACTTTATTCATTTCTTTTTAGTATCACATTTAAAAAAAATATTGTCCCTTTTTTCATGTCATTTTTAAATTTTAAGGTTATATTATTTCTTTTCAATTATACCCTTGAATTCTTTAGGTATTTTATAAGAAGTTGTAATATTCTAACTAGTAGTGAACAGTTTACTCCAAATATTTTCTTTTAATTTTATGTATATTTTAACAAGTTAAATAATTAATAGTATTGATAGATCATTAAAATCTTTAAATGTGAAAAGAAGAAATTGATTACAATTAATTGAATTTTTTTTTGCATAAAGAAATCATTTAAAAAGAATATTTAATTAATTTTTTCCCCTCATTTCCTTGATAACGATTTTATAAAAACGAAGGAAAATTCGAATATTTACGTGAAAGAGAAAGAGGTGATAAAAACGGTATGAAAAAAGTAGTTTCTAGAAATTAGAAAAGGAAAAATAAAGTGAGTGATTTTGTGTTGACATTTCACGAATATAGTAGTGATGAAGTCTGAAAGGTTCAGGTGTTCAGGTGCTTAACACATTTTAAGAAAATGCAGAGTTGCTTAATGCTTATGCTCGTGAAAAGCCAAGTCTAAGGGGGCAGGTTGCCTCTCTCTGTAAAGTTCACACTCAGATTTCCCTATAAAGTTATTCTCATCACCGTCATCATAATTTTTTTTTTATTTTTTTTTATTTTATTCAAATCCTTTCTCCTTCCTCATCATCTTTACCTTCCACTGTTCTGCATGCATGATGTCTAATCTAAAGGGTATAGTGTAGCTATAGCTATGAATAATTACTTATAGCTATTTATATCACCACTGCACTGCTCCCTCCTCTGTTTTTCCTCAGTTATCTGTTACATTTCTTGTTTGTATCTTTTGAACAGTTAAACGTTGATACAAAGAAAT